GATAAAGATGTGGTGTGTACACACAATGGACTATTACTCAGCCATATAAAGGAATGAATCTTGCCATTTGTAACATGGACGGACCTAGAGGGTATTACGATAAGTGAAGTCAGAGAAAGACGAATACCATAGGATCTCACTCATATGTGGAAATGTAGGAACAAAACAAGAAACAATCCAAGAAACAGACTCAACTACAGAGCACTGGTGTTTAGCAGAGGGGAGGAGGGACGGGAGGAGTGAACCAGGTCCAGGGGACTAGGCGTACACTTACCGTGAGGAGCACGGAGTGATGTGTGGAAGTGCTGAATCCCTACACTGCACGCCCGAAACTAATACAACATCGCATGTTAATGACACTGGAATTAAATCTTAAAAAATGTATCAAGCAAACAGCAACAACAAAAGACACGGACGACAAAGACAATCAGTCTGAGCACTGCTGGCCCCCGAAACCCCACAGACCTCAGGGGGACACAAGTGTGTTTGTGCAGGTTTGGGCTTGGACTTGGGCACGTGCAGGTGCACACAGGTCTGCTCCTGTGTCCCGACCTCGCCCGACCTCCCCTGTTCCCGGCCCGGGCTCCCCTGACCTGGGAGGCTCACACCTGCACCATACTCACCCTGTCACTGCCCTGGGAGCCAGGACCCATCTCCGGCCACCTCTGCGTTGTGTCCACCATGGAGGGAGCCCACCCCTGAAATTCCTTTGGAGGCAGCCCCGGAAATGGGGGCGAGTCAGTCCCCAGGTGCACTCACTGTTTGGAAGGCCCGGGTTTCTGCAGCAAACCAGGCTCCCAGGTGCCGCTCATTGAGGGTACCACGGTCAGCACGCCGCCGTCAGGTCTTGCAAGGCTCCCAGATCCCTCCGCTCTGCCTTCAGGGGGAACACAGGCATTTGTGTGGATTCGCACTTGGAAACAGGCAGATGCCATGTATCCCACCAGGCTACTGCCGTGAAGCAAGCCGCCCTCCAGACCCTGGCCGGGGAGCAGATCCTTGGCTCCACGCACCTGTGCGGCTGGAGCATGCTCAGTAAGCACCGCGTCAGCCCGCAGAAGGTGGCTGGGGTCATCTGAGCCTGCCCAGCTCCCGACGGTCTGGAACCACATGCACAGCCTCCAGGCTGGAGGGAGCCACCCCCCCCAATCTTTCTTAGAGGCACCTTTCCAGGGGCCCAGCTCCGTCCCCGTCGGACTGGCTGCCTGATGAAGCCCCCGCCTTCTCCCGAACTCTGGGCCCTCAGGGGTCTCTCACAGAAGGACAGCGCAGTCAGGGGACTCAGGCCCCCCTGGCAACACAGGCCCGGCTCCCCCAGCTCCGGCTGAAAGGGAAACACACGCCCACGTGCGCAGGTGCAGGCTTGCAAGTAGGTCGAGCGTGTGGGCCGCCCAGCCCAGCCTGGGGTCGCTGCCACACCCCACACCAGCCGCGCCCCGGGCTCCCCTGACTCGGGCGGCTCCTAAAAGCGCCATACGCACCTGTCAGCCAGCCCGAGGCCCTGGAAACCGGTGGAGATTCGGGATAGCCGGGATCACCCCAGCAGCCTCCCGAATAAAACGGGCACCCCCACACCCTTTGTCAGGGGGCAGCTTGCAACGGTACAGTCAGTCCCCCTGCAACCGGCTGCCTGCCCGACGGGGTCCCGGGCTGACCAGGCATCGAGGCTCCCAGGTGTCTGTTGCTGGAAAAACACCCCGCCAGCCTCCCGGGCCCCTGCGACCAAGGCAGACCCCGCTCCTCCAGCTTCACCTCTGGGGGCGAAGTAGGCCCAGGTGAGTAGCCTAGGGCTGGGAATGAGGCAGAGGATTGGAGCCCCGGGGGCCCGCCCCCTCCCCCGCCGCTCGGCCCGCTCGCGCTCTTCTGGGCCCCTGGCTGCCCACCCCTGCGCGGCTCACGCATGCGCGCTAGGCGCCCCTCACCTGTGCGGCGGGAGCCGGATGTCTCTCTGCCCGTGGATCTCGGCCCGCACCAGAACCACCGGAGAGCCTTCCGGGCGGAGGTATCCCAACCCCGAGACTCTTTCTGAGCTGGCGGCTTGCATGCGGCCGCCGTCGGTCTCCATCCGGCCTGTCGACCCCCTGCGTCCCCGGCTTCCCGAGCCTTCAAGGCTCCCCGGGGTCTTTTGCGGGAGGATTCATCGGCCCTCCAGCCTCCACCCATCGCTGGAAAGGTAGTGCACTTGTCTCTAGATGGGCCTTCGGGGGGCATATGTGCCTCTGTGTCACAGGCTTTGAACGAGGCCGATTCCAGTAACCCCAAATAGTCTCCTCCTGTGACCCGGCCTCTTCCCACGGCTGCGCTGTTCCTGGTCCCGCCGCTGTTCCCCCTGCGCTGCCTGCACTGTGCCCTCTGCCCCTGGCTAGCCCACCTTGAGCTCCAGGGGGCACCCCAGTCCCGTGGAGCCCCAGCCCCCTCAGAGCACCTGACCAGCCTCAGAGTGGAGGCACCCCACCCGGGACGGTCTCTGAGGTGGTACATTGAACCCCCCGGGGGGACTGCCTGCCCGATGGGCTCCCGGGCCTCTTCAGCCAAGGAGGCTCCCAGGTGTCCCTCTGGAGGGCAGCCCGACCGTCCCTCTCGACCCTTGCTGAGCAGCAGTCCAGATTGTCCAGCTCGGGCTTCAGGGGCCATAGACGCCGTCGTGCGGGATACGACTTGGATCCGCCGATGCCAAGCGTCTCTGAGCACCAGCTCCCAGGCCCGGGTTCGGCACCCGCTGCCCCTTTAGGCCCGGGTACCCCCGCCTTGGTCTGTGGGTTCCCTTTGTGGCCTATTGGGTGGAGCCAGCCCCCCAGACATGCACACCCCCAGGACGGAGAGTGCTTCCCTTTGGAATGTCCTTCAAGGAGTCCGCCTAAAACTGGCTGCAGTTTTTTGTAAACCGGGAGCCTGATGGGCCCTGGGCCGCCACGCGCTCATCCCCCAGGGCCAGACTGACTCCTCATGGCCCCGGCTGCAGTGGCGGGAGCAGGGCCCTCCCCAGCAGGGTCTAGGTGCACAGGGATGGGATTGCGGGGTGCCCTGTATGTCCCCGGGGACAGTGCCCAGGTTCAGGGAGTGGATAAAGGGGCCGGGCAGGGACGGAGGCAGGGGTGGGAGGAATGCAGCCACAGGATGGGATCCTCGGCCAGGACGGGAGGCTGGAGAGACCAGGGAGGACCCTCCCCTGCAGCCTCTGGAGACAGCTCTGCCTTGAATCACCTGCGTTAGGACCTCTGGGCTTCAGACCTGCAGAGACCACACCTCGGGTGCTTGCAGCCCCAGGTCTTGGCTTTGTGTGAGGATGGCCCCAGAGCAGCTCACCTGCATTTCCCCACGCACTCGTCAGAACGCGGGTGGGAGACGCCACTGTCCCCGCCAGAGCTGCCAGGCATCACACAGCTAGTCCAGCCGCCGGGTGGGGCCCCATCTGCGCCCTGACCGCAGGGCTTGGGGACACAATAAAATGTTGATGCCACTGAGTTTGGGGTGCTTTGTTACACAGTAACACAAACGGAGGGGCGGGAGCCCTGCCTGAGAAATCGCCCCAAGTGCTGCAGGAAATGCACACGTTGTCCCAGACGTCCTCGGGTCTGCCCCTGCCTGGGGGACAGCTCCACGGCTGGCCAGTCCCCGCACCGACGACTGGGCAAACCCGACGTGTGCATCCACACGAAGGAATGTTATTTGGCCACGAAAGGAGTGGACCAGCGGCCACACTATAGCGTGGATGGACCGTGACCACATCATGTTCTGTGGAAGAAGCAGTCGCAAAGACCCCACAGTGGGCGGCCCCTCCGAGCACGGGGTCGGGGCATCTGCTCTTTGGCCGCTGTGCACCCATCCCCGCTTCTTCCAGTAAGAAGTCCAGATCTCTGGGGAGCTGCTCACCTTCTTGCACTCATACAGTGGGCCACTGGCGACCATCCCCACCCTCCACGATGGGCCGGGTGCTGCGGGCCAGGGGAGGAGAGGGGTGGAGAGGGAGGGGTTGGTGGGTGCCTGCAGGGTCCCAGACCCTGCTGCGTTCTGCTGGTAGCAAACATCTTGCTGCACATCCAGTATTTGATCCAATTTTCAAGAATCGGTTGTGTCCAATTAACAAAATTAAGTACTGAAATACCAGCAAATGTTCTCCACAGTCAAAGCAAAAGCAATCAACACTGACTGACAGACAATTCAATATCGCAACTCCAGGGACACACAGGGCACAGGATGCTCTGGTGTCAGCAGAGAAGGGGGTTGAGCGCGTGCTGGGTTGTCACGCCTCCAAGGCAGGGGGCCAGGGGGATTCCGGGGCTTGGGGCGAAGTGGAATGGGCGCCAGCATGATAAGCATGGCCACGCCTGGGACTGAGGTCACGGGGACTTATGCAGACGTACAGGAAACGTCGTCAAGGCGTCTGTCCAACTGTTGGGTAACAAGGTGAAGGCGACCTATAAGACAGTCCAGCATCCCCAAGGGGAACCGTGGGTGCGGGCCTGGCAGGAAGCCCTGAAGGAATTCCCCCAACGCAAAGCTGATTCCTCCACGGGCAGGGGACGTCACTGGTCCCTCCTGGAGGCCAGGTTCATCTGCACGTCCGTGGACAGGAGCCATCTCCAGACGCCCAGTCAGGCACACGGCGTGGCTTCTAAAGGGAAGAGAGGTCACCAGGCCAGGGCGTGGTCGGCCACGACCCACAGGCCGAACCCGCCCGCCTGCCCTTGCGGACAGCCGTTGGGGCCCACACATGCCCTGTGCCCCGCATGCTCCGCAGTGGTGCGGGCAAGCTGCTGCATGGGGCCGCGGAGCCACACCAGCCACTCTGGCCCTTTGCAGAGACCTGGGTTCAAGCCGCTAAACGCTGGAGTAATTTGGTGCAGCCCTGGCACCTGGCACAGCCCACTGCGCACTTGGACAGCTGAGGCTGGGCGTGCAGGCCGAAGCCACAACCCTCACCACCCTGCTCCTGAAAGCGGCAGCGAGGCTGGCAGTTTCCATTAACGGACCATCTCCTCCCCTGCAGAGGCGAGCAAATGGGGTGCAGGGGCACAGTGCAGCGGGAAAGCGCTTCCGGGGGACGGGGGGATGTCGCCGAGCTCCTCTCGCTGACTGACCTCCCAGGAGTACGCCTGCTGACATAGAATTGTCTGCAGCTAATCTGCTAAATGCCAGGCAGGGGCGTGAGCGCTTCTTATCACCAGGACAGACACGCCTCATCTCATCAGCCCGGCTGCATGACCTAGGTGACCGTGACCTCATTGCCCCCCAGTCCCATTCACCTCCTGGAGGGGACAGGGCATGGGAGACCAAGGGAGGGAGGGAGAGGCTCCCTTGAGAGGCTTGGCCAGGTGTGTGCGCTGAGCACCGAATGGAAGGACGCTCCTGCGCACAGTAGGTGCTCAGTCTACACCGGCCTCAGCGATGGCCCAAGACCTTTGAATTTTGCTCAGACTCTGGGCCCACAGGCATTGGAGCCTCCACGCCGGGAGGTGGGCAGTGAGCCGGGGAGCTCAGGGAGCTGCTCACGGGCACAGGAAGGGTCCCTGTGTCCCTGGCCCCCTGAACAAGAGGGCCAGCTCCCCGTGAACCTCCTCCCGGGGCAGGAAATGCCACACCCCTGAGTTTCTGCAAACGGATACATTGTTTTCAGCTCCCGTTCTGTATACAACAGGAGTGAGGTCTCCGTCGGTCAGGGTCCCCCCTCTCCCCTGGGTTGGGTGGTGTCAGGGAGAGATGTATGGGCCGGGAAGAGAGAAGTAGCATTTGACACTCGGGGTGGCTACACGGTGATGGGGGCAGACAAGCCGAGTGCACAGGGAGGCCACTGCTGCCCCAAGTGGAGGGAAGAAGGGAAGGGCCGGGCCATCCGTGGGCACCGACCCTGGAGTCAGGGTCACACACACCGTGGCACTTGGGACCCCCAAGTGCCCCCCCTTCACTACCTGTCCTCCCCCACTCCCTGAAAGTTCCATCACCCACCTACGCCATCCCAGAACCATACAGGAGGCTGCTGGTCCTCCCTTACCCAGGAGGCTCTTGCCTGCCCCTGCTGCCCCCAGGGCCTGGACATCAGTTCTGGGCACTCCATCCAAGGCGGCCTCCACTGACATTTTCTACTCCGGAGGAATCCCTCGCCCTGCTCTGCCTGATGACCTATGAGCTCCCATCATGGGGGCTTTGTCCCGCTTACTGCCTGGTGTGGGAGCAGCTGCAGGGATGCCCTTTTTCAGGGGTTTCCCAACTTCATATACACCCATTTCCCCGAGACCCCCCATCTGACCCCCACGGCCAGTCCAGGGTCCCCGAGACCCCCCACGTCTGGCCCCCACAGTGGGTCCGGGGTCCCTGAGACCCACCCCCATATCTGACCCCCACACTCAGTCCAGGGTCCCCGAGACCCACCCCACATCTGACCCCCACGGCCAGTCCAGGGTTCCCAAGACCCCCCACGTGACCCCCATGATCAGTCTGGTGTCCCCGAGACCCCCTGACATCTGACTCCCACAGCCAGTCTGGGGTCCCTGAGAACCCCCATGTCTGACCCTGGGGCTGCCGCAGAAGGCGGGCTGGGAGCCGTGAATGGTATGAAGAGTCCTCCACGCAGACGCTGTCCCCCAGCAGTGTCGCGGACTCTCCCCAGGATGTGCAGACCTCCTAGGACAGTGACTGCCTGGCAGGGGAGGGTCTACAAGTGCAGACCCCAGGCCCCACCCCAGCACTTACACTCAGATCCCAGAGAATTCAGGAGCCCCTGACTGTCTAGCTCTAATATCCCCTGGACCAGAAGCCCCGACGTCGGTCAGGGGCTCAGGCCCCCAGCCCAGAAGCCTCCGAGGCTGTCCTGGCCACTCCAGCGGGGCTGCCCTGGCTCCTCCATCCATCCCTGCCCCCACCCCACGTCCGCTCAGGCAACCACCCAAAGGGCAACCAGGACGGGAGGTGGAGAAACACCAGCCCGGGGGCCTGGTGGCTCAGTGGCTTGAGCGTCCAACTCAGTTTCAGCCCAGGTCATGATCTCAGGGTACTGGGATCCAGCCCCCCGTTGGGCTCTGAGCTCAGCAGGGGATCTGCTGTCCTTCTGCCTCTGCACCCCCCACCCCATCACACTTGCTCACTCACTCAACAAAATCTTTGGAAAAAAAATAAAGTAAAATAAAAAAGAAACACCAACCCAACACCAATGTGGCAAAATGCAACTGCCCAGCCCTGAGGGTCAGGCGGTGGTAGTGGACTGAGGTGTCCAGGGAATGGGAGTCCCCGAATCGGCCAGAATGAGAAAATCTACACAGAACACACGATGCTGAATTTCGGAAAAAAATAAAAACCTGCTTAAGCCTTTTATAATTTAACTTGGAAAAAATCAATTTCTTAATGGGTGAGGGCTCAGCCCAACCACGCTGCCCCCTGGTGTCCCCGCACCGAGGCTCAGGCAAGGCACTGATGACCTCTGGTAGCAGGCCACTCAGGAGCCTCGAGACCATCCCCCACAAATGTGCATGAGCCCCTCCTCCGAGCCAGGCAAGTCCTGGGCCAGGAGACAAGGCCGGTCAGTAACGAGCCTCCCTCGGTCCCCGTGAAGGCGGGCAGGGACAGTCTGTGGACTGCTGCAGGGCAGCCGGGCCACGAAGGTAAGTAGGTGCCAGGTGGGACACACAAAACGCTGTTACACACAGGATGTAACTCCACTCCGCAAGGCCTCACTCAGCCTGGGGTCTGAAGACCAGGGGAAAGCTGTGGCAACAGCAGTGCAAAGGCCCTGGGGCAGGAACCAGCTTGGCAGGGAGCCAGGGCAGTCCAGCTGGGGGGTGGGGCGCTAGTGTCCCTGACTCACACGACCCTGTACAGAGAAGAGGCGCCCCTTCACCCCTTGGGCAAAGCCCCCACCAGGCACACCAGGGTCTTAGGCCACAGGAGCAGCTCCCAGAGACCAAACCGGCCAAATGACTGCCCTCTGTGACCCCAGGGCGCTCCTGCAGGGTGGGGGTATGCCGGGAACTCAGGAGGCTGCAGGGCAAGGGGGGGTTCTCTCCCTCGCGGGCTCTCCACCCCCACTTGTGCCTCTGCCAGCCCCCCCAGCCCACGGGAGCTGCCGTCAAACACATGACTCCTCTGTCCCCAGACAAAAGCAGATTTTTTAAGAGGAAACCCAGACTCAAGGAGCAGGCTCGCCTGGCAGAAACGGGGCCTCGAAGGAACAAACGCCCTGGCACAAAATAAGCCACTGGCCCATGGCTGCCGGTGCCCACTCTGCTCGGGGAAAGGATGGAAGGGTGAAGCGGCCTCCAGCTAACTCCCTCTGACGGGGCACACACGCTCCGGCACCCCGGGGGTCAGGGGACAAAGGTGTCCTCGTCTGGACCTGGTCAGGAATGGGCATGTACGCTCCCTGTGCGCCCCAAGACTAACCAGGACAAAGCCCTCACTGTCGCTCCTGAGTCACAAGAGTCCAACTGCACGGGAAAGGCGGGGGGCGTGGCCCAGACCCTCCCTGGATACAAGGGCCCCGGGGAGTCTGGGGTGCCCGGGGAAGCTTGCAGGGCTGGCAGAAGCCACACCAGTGCACCTGGAGCCCCATGGCAGGAGCCACTTCTGCAGCCCCCCTCCCCACCAGGCTTCAGCGGAGGGAGAGACCCCTGGACACCACGTTCCAGTGGGGGGGGGCGCGGTGCTGCAGGTAGACATAGGGTGGCTGGCACTGTGGACGTCTACCTGTGGACCCAGCCACCACAGGAGCCAGTAGACGGGTTCAGCACCTCCCCAGACCCCTGCCTAGCCACCCACGGCCCACCCCAATGGCTCTCCCATGAAACCACTTATGGGGGCCGAGGCGGGGAGGGGAGGCCACAGGGTCAGCTGAGCGTGAAGTGCTGGGCGCAGAGGTCGTCCTGCCGGCCCAACAGACCCTGGGCGGGGATGAACTCTAGTGGTACCGACTCCTGGCCCTTCTTCTTCAGGTCCCGCTCGAAGACCTGCAAGGGACGGACAGATGGACGCTCCCACACTGCGCGGTCCCCGCACCCCGGCCACCCAAGCTTCAGCATCCCCCCCTCACCTCAAATGCTGTGAGATCCAGCAGCGGTGCGATGCTGACCTCAGGCACGGACAGCGCCTGGTTGATGACGCTGGCGGCCTGGGACACCTCGGGGTGGTAATGCCGCTGGAGGGCCTGCAGAGCACGTGTGACATCACCACCACCCCCGCCCCGGGCAGCCAGGAGACCCGCAGGCGGCACACACCCAGGTGGGCCAGGAGGTGGGTGACGGACCCGGCGTGCTCACCTGCAGCTCCCACAGCGAACTCTCCAGAGCTCGGCTCTTGGCGGGGTCTTCCTCTTCAGGGTCATAGGGGTCGGCATCCAGCTCTAGGAACGAGACCCAGGCCCTGCTCCACGACTGGCCCCCGGTGTACTGGCTGCTGGGGGAGGGCAGGCCCCCCAGGTCCCCCAGGTCCCCCAGTCGCACTCACCAGGGCCCAGAGGGCGGTGCACGAGGACGCGGCAGGCAGGGTGCCGGCGCAGCAGATTGCAGATGAAGGGCAGGACCATGAGCAGGGCCTCGGGGGGCGCCGTCAGCGCTAGGCGGGACAAGCGCTTGGCGAAGGCCGCCACCAGGTAGGCGGGCAGATGGCTGGGCGGGACGGTAGCTGTGAGTGAGACCCCCTCACCCGGCACCCCAGGCCCCGCTCCGGGTCTCAGCCCCGCCTCTGGCACTCACGAGGATGACAGGAAGAGATCGGCCAAGTGGAAAAACCGGGCCCGGTACTTGACGTGAAAAACGGACGGGTCCAGGAGACCGTAGAGCTTCCGGTAGAAATCGGGGTACTCGCTAGGGGAGGGGGAGTGTAACTGAGCAGCAGGCACAGGGGTGGAGCAATGAAGAGACAGGTGATGGCTTCCAGGGGCTCCGTCCCCTCCCCAGCCCTTCTCCAGCCCAACCCCCACCCCACCACCCTGGGCACAGCCCAGCCGGCTCCCCGGCCTGAGGACGCCTCCAGGATGAGTACTCACAGGTTGTGCTGGTGAATCAGGACAAAAAGTCCATTCAAGGCCAAGAGGCTGATGGCTCCCCCTGCAGACACACGTGTGGCGGTGAAGCCCCAGCCCACCCCACCCCTCCAGCCCGGGGGGCGAGTCCAACAAAGCTGCAGGCCACCAGGCCGGGAGGGAAAGCAGACTCCTGAGGATGGCCCACCAGCCACACGGCTGCAGGAGCCCAGTCCGTGAGCACACACAGGCCCGCCCGGGAGCTCAGCACTCACCCACGTCGTAGGCACGGGTCAGGAAGTCGATCATGAGGCTGGGCTGGGCCAGGTGCGGCAGGATGGAGTCGTGCATGACCACCAGCACCTTCTTGTAGAGGCTGAGAGGCAGCTGCCGGGAAGCCGCAGGTGTGGGTGCACCTGCCCCACTCCAAGAACCCCCTGACCCATACGGACCCAGACAGGGGGCGCCCGCTCCCCACCCGCCCCACCCCGCCCTACCTTGTGCCTGAGAAAACCGAGCCACATCAGCTGGAACGCCTTCCTGTGCTCCTACAGCAGATGCGGTGTCACAGTTGCACAGAGGCACCACCCCATCCCCCTGCCCCCAGGCGGGGACACCAGACACATGGCCTCCCCGCTGCCCTGTGGGAGGAGGAGTTCAAAACCCCAAACCCGAGAACTCCGTACTAGACAAGAGAAAACGCCCTGCGTGGATCCCAGCTGTACGGGAGCAGAGGAACATCGCGTCTGTGACTGCCCACAGTAACAAGGGCCCGCTGAGAGCCTGGGAACCGGGTACCTGTGTGCCTCCCCCACCCCGCTCCCGGTCCCTATGAGGGGTCCCTGTGTGGCACCCCGCGCCTGCCTAAGCCAAGTAAGGGGCAGCTAGTTCTCTTCCCGTCGCACACACGTGCGTCCTTCTGAAAGGACCCCCCTCCCAGGGAGGCCACCGACCCCTCCGGAGCAACTAACCTTCAGATGAACAACCTTCCACGTGCTCGACAGCTCTGCAAAGAAGGTAGGGATCAGCGGGCATACGGGAGAGGAGGCAGCCCACTGGGTGCCCCTGCCCAACCACCTGCCCAGGACGCTCACCCACGTGCTTCACGTAGAAGGTGGAGAAGCTACACTCCTGGCGGGGGAGGCTCACAGCCGACAACAGCGTGAAGGTGTTGTTCCAGAAAGTGAGCGGCACCTGCACAAAGCCTAACCTGAGCACAGGCATGACCACCACCCACCCAGCCCCCAGCCATGGGACCCAGCCAGCTCACCTCTGGGTACCTGTCAGCGACACGGCCCACGACGTCCGTGGCTGCCCGCATCACGTGGTAGCGGATGTCGTCGTGTTCCAAGTACCCCTGGAACCGGGACAGGAGCAGCGAGCAGTCGTTCTCCGGAGAGAGCAGGCCTTCCACCACCGCCTGGGTGCCGAGCAGGGAGGTGGGCCTTAGTGCGTCAGCCCCACGACCAGGGACTGCCCGAGGAGACCACCGAGCCGGCAGCCTCACCCCTCCTGCAGGGGAGGGTATGGCAAACGCACGGCACTCACTAGCCACCTGCGCCAGGGCCCATTCCAGCTCTGGCCGGAGGCTTCTGTCCGCCCACCCCCGTGCACCCCACCTTGAAGAGCTGCCGAGGAAACAGGTAGCAGCCGTCCCATTTAGGTTTCTCCAGGGGGTAGGCTCCTTCCAGCTGCACAAACTTCATGAGCGTGCTGAGAGCCAGCTCCTGGGGACAGCGGGTAACAGAGTGGCCGAGGCGACCGGCCACAGGCCACGCCCACTGCAGGCATGGCCACAGAGCTCCCCCAGCACACAAACCCAAGTTCGCTCCACATGGCATTCCCACAAGTACCGGCACACAAACAAATCCAGCCACCAGAATGCCGACCGGACAAGAGAACACGGCCTCTGGTGGGCCCAGGAACACAGACGCGGGCAGCCTTGGCCCCACCTCCGTGCGTGTGGACAGCCTGTGGCTGGCGGTGCAGGGAACGCCGGGGGCAGTCAGCGCGACTCACCTTGACCTCAAAGGAGGGGTGAGCCAGAAGCTCCTGCAGGCGGTTGCAGCAGCTGTGATACCGATGTCTCATCCACACCTTGTATTTGCGCGTAGCCCCCTGGGACCCTACGGGGAGCAAGGGGGTCAGCCCACACGTGCCCGATACTCTGCACTCGGCCCCACCGGGGAAATGGGTGCAGTCACCGTGGCCCCAGATCTGGGGTGGGAAGAAAGAACCTCCTACCCTGAGGGCACAGTCCCTCACCCCTCACTTTACCCCAAAACCTAAACGACCGGGGGTGGGGACGCACGGCCCCAGCTTCGTGGGATGCTGACCGCACAGAGCAGACCCCGTAGTAACCGGGCTGCAGGGCTGTCTCTGCCCCCACCCCCCGCCCGCCCCCAGCACCATCCTCCTCTGCCCCGACCGTGGGCTCTGGGCCCCTCCACCGACCCGCGGTCCCTGCGCTGCGGCTTAGGGGCCAAGTCTCCCCCCGCCCTCCCAGAGCCGGGGGCCCGCAGCCAGGGCACAGCCCGGCGCCCCGGGGACGCTCACCTGCCATGACCGAGTCCTCGGACGGCAGCCGGCCCACAAACAGCTCTCCCCGCTCCAGCAGGGCCCCGAAGAGGCGGCTGCACGCGCGCACCGCCTCCTGGGTCTCCTCGGGGTCCTCGGCCTGAGGGAACAGGCTGGTCGCGGGGGGCCCCCCACGCCCCACTGCGGCCTCACGCCCGGGCCCGTCACCCGCCCACCCGAGCCTCCGGCCTGCGCGCCCCGCGAAGGCCCCCCCCCCTCCCCGGCTTCCGACGCCGGGACCCCGGCCACCGCGACCCGCGCGCCCCCACCTGCAGCACGGCCAGGATGTCGAACACGGCGTTGGCCTCGCCGCGGCTCGCCAGCACCGCCTCCAGCAGGCGGCCCAGCGCCCGGCGCGCGCCCTCGGGGCCGGGGTCCCGCTCCATGCCGCCGCCGCCGCCCCACGCCACGGACACCACGCGCCCCACGCGCCGCCGCCCGGCTCCGTGACGTCACCTCCCCGCGCCGGGGCCTCCGGCACGCGGCGGCCG